TTACATCTAAAGGAATATCATCTTCTTGTGTCATATCTAATAAACATCTCTGTTTGAGTATATTCTACAAAATATAAAAATGATCTATACATTAATTGATATTTATCAAAACTAGCTTGTGTACTTGTTGTAATTTCAAATAACATTTCATAAGTGATGCATAAAATGTACAAATAGAATTGTTTTATATGAATTAATTTGATTGATAAATTCTAATTCTTGTTCAACTGTGTAATGTTCTTGCATTAATTAATAATTTAATATTGAATCCCATTGCTGTTAAAGTACAATAAAATTTAAGATTTATTAATTCATCAAATTTTTGAGCATCAAAAATAAGTTATAATCAATTGTATATGATACTGATGGTATTATTTGTGTACCTAAATCAAGAATAGTTGCCTATATAGAGTAATCTTGTGTATTATGTTGAATGTATGTTAAAAATCTTTAATTTATCATTTGTTATTTCTTTTGATGAATTATATAATATTCCAGAATTTTCTATAGTTCGAGTTATATTAACAAGTCATTTAAGAATAATTTTTTCTAGATGTATAATAATAACTGATGCTGTTGTTTCAAGTTCAGCTTGAATACATTGGTTTTTTTAACGTGTTGTTTTAACTTTATCTTATTTTCGATCCATAGATGAATTAAAATACTTGATTAGTTTAGTTAATAAGAAAGTACAAAACTTTTGGATGTTGTGACAAGACAATTGTTATGAATAAAAAAAAACAAGAATTATTTATTATTTAAAATTTTTTGTTAATACGTATATGATTCATTTATTATGAGCCAATAGTAGACATCCGTCAGAAGACTAACGTATCAACAAAAGATCCCACTAGTAGATGAGTTCTTTATTGATGGTAAAAATTCTTCGTTTGAACTGTAACTTTTTGTTGGAAACAGAGATGTTTCAATGTCGCCAGGATTAATGAGTTCGGAAGTTTTCTGGAAATCTGTGCGCAAAAAATACAATAAAACGCTGGAGAAAAACGGCAATTTTTCAAGATTAAGGGAAGGATAATCATTCGCTCGGAACACTCCCGGTTGGAAAAACTGTAAAAATCAAGTATAACCGAAGAGCTATTACCGTACACTATTCAAAATTTCTTTGTCTTTCATCTACTGATTGTCAACAAGAATTCGAGAAAATGATAACCATCATGAATTTTCCCAAAGCAGGGTTTCTAGAAAACCTAAATCCTAATTTTTCAACATCCAGAAGCCACAATAGAAAACTTTTTTAACAGTCTAGAATTATAGAGCAGCCAATTCTCTGCAACATAAAACGTCTCCGAGCTTTCTACGACCTTCTCTCCAAAATTTATAAGCATCACAAAAATCGAAAAAATGCGTTTTTTAGTCGATTTTCCCATAAATTTCACTTTTTTTCGATTTTTGTGATGCTTATAACTTTTGAATGGAAGGTCGTAGAAAGCTTGATGACGTCTTATTTTGTAGAGAATTGGCTGCTCTATAATTCTAGACTGTTAAAACAAGTTTTCTGTTGCGGCTTCTGGATGTTGAAAAAGCAGGGTTTTGGTTTTCCAGAAATCCTACTTTGGGAAAATTCACGATAGTTATCATTTTCTCGAATTCTTATTGGCAACAATATTCTCTATTCAAATCACTATTTGGATTCTTTCTAGCACTTAAGACTATGAAAAAAAATCCATATTACATCTTGTTGAACAATTTTGGGACCCACTGTATATATATTTAAAATACAGTGGTCACAAAAAGTTCTACTACCAGGTAAAAAATACCTAAACTTTAATCCTTGTGCCTGATATTTTGATCAGAAATAGAGCATGTTGAACTCTTCTCATTCGACATCTCAATGCTACTTCTATCAACAATAAAAATTTCATGTCAAACAGTTTTAGTTTGCCTAATTTATTAAGTATTCTTTGAGTCATCTCCATATGAAAGTTGATGAGAATTGTTGAAAAGCTTCGACTACTTTTAACTACTGATCTTGAAAATTTCACGATCACAATCATCAATGAAGAAGAGATCCATATTGAGACCATTCCAGACAATAGAGGCTTTCCTGTGCTTCAAGATTATAGTGAACTCGAGACCCGTATCTCTGATACGATGTAAGCATACGAATCTTTGTGTTAATAAGAAAATGCAGAGTTATTACATTCAAATAGTAGTCGAGTTGCTGCTTGCGATCAGAGTTTACCGAGCACTGTTTGCATTCAAAATATCAAGCAAAAGGATTATATAGGAATTTGAAGCTAAATTCTCCTATAATAAACCTTTGATTCAAGTCTACAGATTAAAAAATTACAATATTTGAAATTTTAGTTTATACATAATCTCAAAATTACAAAGAATACAACTAATTCACCTGCTATTTTCTGTAAACATCCAACGTTTTATACAAGCTCGTACTCATCAAGTTCGATGCTAAATCTTAAATATCTAGCATCAATAGATAGAAAATTTGATGTTCTATGCTCTCAAGACTTCTCATGATGTCGTTCAAGTGCAAAAAAAACTTCATAGTTTCAAAAGCTAACGTACCCTACGAACGGTTTATCATTATATCGTCGAAGGCAGAATTAAATTCTGAACAATGAAAATCTTTAGATTGCTCACAATGACATAGAGTTGTGAGCAAAAATATTTTGCATAAAAAATTATTCTTTCACTAATTTTTTTCTTAAAATTACGAAACATCGTGAGATGCAGCATATTTCGAATTTCAGCGGAATTGATTATTTAAATATATTTTTAATAATTCTTTTGTTTTTTGACAACCGCAGTTGAATAAGCAAGTAGCTGTCAATCTTTTCGATTTTTCTGCAACAGAAGAAATTTATTTGAAGAATAGAGTCGACAGTTTTATGAGCCATCCGTTATTTTCCTTTAGTCCTATCAATTCATTCTATCACACTATCTATTAAGTAAGTAATGTCATGTAGTTCGAACAAATCTTTTTTTTTTTTTTTATTAATATTCTTGTCATATTTCATTCTAATTCAACAAAGAATAGATTCATTATTATTCAAATGGTACGAAAAAAAAAACAAAAGAAATAATTATCTTGTATCTTTCTTCAAGTTTATTTACTTTTTTAATAAACATTAATTAACTAATTTTAAACGTTATTTATATTCAAATTTTTCTTTATTATTATATGACTACTAATAGTCAATTAAATGATTTTATTAATTATGAATAATAGAAATGAATATTTAACAAAAAAAAAAAAACATTATATTTACACCACATGTTCATAACTCTGTCCAATACGTATTCGTTCAATAGGTAATAATGATTCATAACGAAAATCTCTTTGATTATTATTATTATTATTAAATAATCCATTTGATGAATTTTCTATAGATATTTTTGTATCATTTATATTTGAAATTCTTCCAGTACCTAATAAAAATTCATCATCAGGTGTTAATTGTTCAAATTCATTTGCATAGAGTTCTTCAAGTGTTGGTCGACGACATCCTAATAAATAACCAATAAATCCAAAAACAGCTAATGTTAAAAAGATAAGTCCAAAACAAATAAGTACGATTGACCAAAATGGAAAAAAACCTATGAAAAAAAAACCAATACAAATATTTCTGTTGTTTTGTATAGAATTAAAAAATAAAAATAAAACCTCGAAGTAAATAATCAGGATTAATACGATTGAACATATCTGTTCGTCGACCACTAGTCATTTCATAATGTGTTCGAGCTGCATAACTAAGATCATTTTGTTCTCTTAATTGATCAGGTGTTAAAAATTGACCATCACAAATAATAATAATAATGCTTATGAATAATATTCCTAAAAGAATTTTTGATTAAACAAAAAAAAAAATATCGAATAGAAAAGACATACTTATTATGACCTTGATAAAAGTCATGTTCTACTAGGAGACCATTCACGAATATATATGTTTGTATAAATGAACGGAGAAATAAAAAAAAAAAAGAGGAAAGGGTCAACAAATGCGTTCGTGAAAATGACCACTAGTGACAGGAAGGTGAAATTGAAAAAGAGAGAGAACATTAAGGTGTGCATATATATGAGTACAAGAAAAAAAAAAAAAAAGAATCGTCCAAAGAGAATATGTCGTTTGCCGAAGGACAGAAACAGAACTATCGTGTCGTTCATGTATGTTCGCTTGTTCTCTATATTTCTTTGATTTTAATATCTATAACTTTATAAAGACGATTTTTATCCGATGATTAAATCAATAATTGAAATGTATAAAATTAGAATAGATGATTTTGATAAAATTTGCCGATGTATAAAATTTTTTCTTTTGTATATACGATTGATCATTGGTTTTTTTTTTTAAACTTTTATTTAATGAAAAGTTTTTTTTCTTCACAAATTACTTCTTGTCTTATTTAAATCAATTGAATTTATATTTTTCTATTGACTACATACTCATTCATATTTGTTAAATCCTTAAGTTATTCTAATCTCAAATAATCAAATTTTACTGAGAAATTTTTTTTTTTTTTTTGATTTCTATCAATACTGGTTTCTTTTTTTTTCATACATACTCATACACAGATGCCCAATAGTATCAAATCATATCGTCTTCACACATGCATACATACACACTCACAAAATAATAAAAATACAGCACACGTACACACACACACACACACTTTAATACATCTGCCAAAAGATACGCACACACGTGCATATGGATGATGACAATGATAAAAATGACAGTGTTAACAATAAAAAGAAGAAGGAACTGAAACAAAAAAAAAAACACAACAAATATGTAACTGTAAAAAAAAAATCGCTTATTGTTGTTTTTCTTTTTTTTTTTTGATAATGATGGCAGAATGGAAAGACATGCATATATAAATATAGTTGAGAAAAAGAAAACAAGATTATGATCGGAAAAAAAGGAAATGATGTAGATTGCTTCGTTTGTTTGTTTTTTTTTGCACATTGCAAAAAAAAAAAGAACAAATGACGGACATATACATAATTATAGATAATCTCATCGTATTATTTTCTGTTGTCCGTGATCTTGTTTAACATGATCAATTATATTCGATGTTGTTGTTGTAGTCGGTAATAATATTCGTCCATTCCAATCGGTTTCAAAATAATTATTCGTATAATTTAATTGTGATGATATTGTTTGTCGATTTACTGCTGGTGGTGTGATGAGATCATATAAAAAATTAATATCACCATTCGGATCATTAGTAGGAATATTTGATGATGATGATAATGATGATGATGTTGATGGTGTTTTTATTGCTTTTGAACGTCTTAAAAATAGTAATCGATCATTTGATGTATCAGTAAAATATTGTAAAACTTGTCCATGATGTTGATCATGAAGATCATTATTAACAGTATTATTAAATAATGTTGCATTATGATGATTTAAATTTGGATCAGTTATAGAATTTGTATGAAGTAAATGAATATGGGATAGATCACTTGATAGATAATCATCATGTCCACTAAATGAAACATTATGAATATCATTATTTATTGTTTGTGATGTAACCAAAACAGAATTTGGAACAAGTGTAGCTAATGATGGATCAGGATAATGATGACTATCTTGAGACTGGGATACATTATCTTCTTGGTCAGTATCAAGAGAGGATCCATTAGAATCTAGATCGTTTTCTTTTGAAACTAAAAATAATATATATATATAGGTACGATATATAAATAGATATAGTTAATATTCAACTTATAAACATGGAACGTGAAGTATTCTTAGAATGTTTATGATCATATGTTTTTATTTTTTTTAAACATGTCAGCAATAACAAAACGACTTAACTTATTAGTCATTTATATAAGCATGCAAAAAAAAAAAGTAACCATAGTTATATAGTCGTGCAGTGCATATCAATAAAAACTTATATAGATTTTATTTGTGTTAGTAGATATATATATATATTTTATTAATAACAGTTTACATAGAGTTATTCTTACTTGAACGATTTGGTGATGATGTGTTAGTAGTTATCATATGTATTGTATTAGTCGTAGTGGATATAATTGACTCTTGACAATCATCACGATACCTATCTGAACTTATACAACTGCAAATATTGTGATATTTACTCTGTAGTTTTTTGTGTTATGTCTTATACTTCTAATTTTCTCATTGGAAGTATCGAACTAAATTCTCATGAAACTTACTTAAAAGCATTTCATTAATAAGATCATCAACTTGTTTTGTATCTTGATTATAACGTGCAACTAGATCAACCATAAGACGAGCTATATTTTGTAATGGAGGCATTAATAATAATAATTCTCCAAAACGTCCACGCATTAATGGTTTTTGTTGATTTATATAAGTTTCAAGATTAACTTGTATACGTTTACGTAATTCTTTTACGCGCATTGGATCTGATAGTGATTTATTATCTAGAAAGACAAGAAAAAAATATTAAATGAATTTTTTTATATAATATATATATATATATACAAACCATTATCAAAAAAAACAATAGCTTTTAAACAAGCATATTCTTTTTCATCTAATTGAATTTCTTTTAATGGTTTAACAATTTCATCAAGAATTCTACCAGCTGCACGAGTTAAACCAGGATCAGATGTATTTCGTGGTATAACATAATGATTACCCAAAAGTAAATAATCATCACAATTTAATGAACGGCAAGCAAGACCCAAAACAAGATTTTCTCCTGTATGACCACGTAAAAGAGCAATCTAGATTAATTATAATATATGTTTACATATAATTCATCAAATTTGAGTATGGCTTTTTTTTTTGTTGTTGTTGTTTATCTTACTTTATCTGTATCGGATAGTTCAATAAAACTTTTCAAATCTTTTGCCCATTCAATTAAACTACGAAGTTGATAATTCATTGATATACCTATAGTTTCTAATGTAGCTTGAACACGTTCTGTATTGGACGGATGTCGATCAAGTTGAATTTGTCGACCAATATACTAGAAAATCAAAAATAATAAAAAATTTTTATTTTTTATTTTCTCATACTTCTTTAGCTGTTTGTTCGGCTCTTAAAAGTGCCATTATACTTAGATCATCTTCATCGTCATCAAGATTATCACTTAAATGTCCAATTGATTTTATTGTTACCACTCGAGTATTACAATTATTACTGCGTTGTCGTCCAAGGCGATCTCTTTCTTTTTGTACAGCTATAAGATTCGAAATGCAAAAAAAAAACAAATAAATTATTTCTATCATTATTAAAATCATATATTTACCATCTCTTCTCATGCCCATTCTAATACATTTTCTATAGAAATAAAAATAAGGATAGATTTAAATAAAGAAATTTATATCAAATAAACATGCTTCCATCGACAATGACGACATTGATTACGTTTATCTTTATCGATTGTACAATTATTTTGATGTCGACATTCGTATACAGGGTTTTTTCGTACAGTTCGTCGAAAAAATCCCTTACAACCATCACATGATATTGCTCCATAATGTTTACCTAAATAATTATATAATATATATATAACCATGTAATTTAATTAATTATTATTTACCTGTAGCTCGATCACCACAAACAACACAATCTAAGATTTCATTATTACTTCCAAAAGTATTATTATTATTATTATTATTTGTTGAACTAACACCTAAATCCATAACTGTTGCACCTCCTCCCATGCCATCATTAACATCAAGGGAATCATCATTAGTTTCACGTTTAATAATTGTTTCTGTTTCGCTAAATTCACTATTGACTATGGCACGTTGCACTAAACAAAACAATAACAATGAAAAAGTTAAATAAAGAAAAAGAAATTTTATATGATTATTATCAATACTATTTCTCGATCATCATCATCATCATCATCATCTATAAAGTGTATGATACTTACTGGTATGTCTTTTCGATTGAGGGAATTTGTTGAAACAAACAGTCAGCGAAAGAACGAAAAAAACAGAGTGAGTAAAAAAACAACAAGAAAAGATAAGACAAACGAATGAAGAATATGTTAGTACTTTTTTGGAAGTAGCATATAGCAAAGGATTCTTTTCTTTTTTTTTTAATATCTAGCACACGTCAGCTGCGTGATTCATTGAACGAAGGCACGGTTGCCTGTTGATTTTTTTTAAAGTAAGAAGCTGTCAAGACGTGCGGTGTTCGTCATCGTTATTGCTTATCCGTTCTTCTTTCTTTTACGCTTCTGTTTGCTTTCGACATATATTTATCATTGGTTGATTATATTTCTTTCTTTTTTTTACATGCATCTGTCGACACTGTCTTTTCTTCTCTAAAAGCCTAAATAAAAAAACACTTTCCATTTATGTACATTATTCACGGTGACATCACTATTATATTGCACCCATCTTTTCTCTTCTTTAAGTGACAACTAATATATTATTTTGCATTGATTTATAGGAAACAAAATTGTCAGACACTAAAAAAAAAGTCGGTTAAACAAAAAAAAAAAGAAAAACAGATTTCGGTACGCTATGACCTTAATCATATATATATGACCAACGTAGTAAGATAATAACAAAAAAATAATGTTGATATCTTTAAAAATTTACATATAAATGTTAAAAGATTCGTAGCTCACCTATTGATACCATCACTAATAAAATTTATTAATAAGAATCATAATCAAAAATCTAAATAGGAAAAAAAAAATAATGTACTTAATGAAGATAATATAGATATTTCTTTTTCTTCTTATACAATTATTTGACCTCAGAATATTAAGATTTGTTTTTCAGCTTTTGACAAAACAACACAATTATTGTAATTTAATATTGCGTCTTTTCAAAGTTACCATCGATTAATCTTTTCGATTGGTACCTCTCGCATAAAGTCGCATTTTTAATCTAGCATCTTCTTTATTTTACATATGCCTGCACGATCAAATTGTTCAAGATCAGCGGCATAAATGTAAAAGAATATGCCATTATATATAATCAACAATTATGTTGATCATCTCAAACCTTTTACTACATCATCAATGGTCAATTTTTTAGATCAAAATATTAATATATGTATAAGTTTAGATTAAAATCAAATGATTAATAACAAGATCAATCTTGACATATAATCATATATGAAAAAACACCACCTTTGCATAATTTGCTGAGAAAAATAAAATGAAAATTTTGTTGTCACATAAAGAAAAATAAAATATCCTTAGTCGTATGAAAAGATACGTGTATACCTCGACAAATAATAAATTATTTTTTCAGATGAGTCTTACGTGATTATCTAGACACTATTGAGATAAGAAACTCTAAAATAATAAACGTCCCTGAGTGTTTTGTTTTTTTTCCGCTATACTTATTTTGATGAAAATTTCCAAAAAAAAAATAAATTTTCTTCGTATCGAAGATAAGTCGATGTTAGAGAAAAACCTCATACTTTTACAATGAATTAGTTCAATTGAACAGTTAATTTGTACAAAGTTTGAATGCAAACGTCGACCTAAAAGAGATAATAACTTTAGTTTTTTATTTTTTCAAAAGACTCATCGATCCAAATTCATCCAGACTTTCTTTCATCTCGATAGAATCTACTTCATGAGGTTAGACACATTTCAAAAACAATATATTATTTGTCGAGGTAATAAATACACACATCAATAACATTCTGTAATATGAATATTTAAAACGAATAGAATCAACAGATTATATAGTAGATTTTGACAAAATAACAAAAAGCTACAACGATAGGACATTCCCTGGATAGAGACAATCTGAATAGAATACTGCTCGACTCAATTAGTTATAAATTAACATTCGTAAGCAATACATATAATCATGATTATGAATAATATATTCATTAACTCAATATACAATAAAGCTATTGATAAGATCGATAAATTCAACAATAATTGAATATTTATTTATTCTAAAACTGACTTTCGACTTTATGACTTATCAAAAGAAATTAGTAGTGTATTTGTAAGAGTTTCTTCAGATAGCTGAATGTTTCTTATTATATCACTGATCATACGAAATCCAAACAAGAACTCATAATGTGCATATCTATCATGTTCAACGGTGCGATACAGACTGAGCATAATTCTTCAGCCACATCATTAAAAAAAATAGCACAGTTAAAATTTTGTACAATAGAAAATGTTCTAAATTTCCAGCCTACGCTAAAAGTAATGAAGTTTATATCTATTCTACTTTAATCATGAATATTAAATGTTTATATTTTCTTACAAAACAAAGAGTTTAAGAAAAATAATTTATATTTTAAGATTATTATAAATTCAATTGACGTATGAATGATTCTTTACAATGAATTGAATATAAATAGAAAGTAGAATATTTGAATAAGTTTCATTTATTAATAATTTATATAAAATCTTCTTCACTGATTTATTTTTCTTCTTTTTTTTCATAAAATATTCACTTACTTTATTTAGAATAATAATTAAAAAATAATTCACTATTGCATAGAATAAACAAAGCGACAAATGAACGTGTAGTCAATGGGGTATATTTCAACGATTAGAATTTTATGTGATAATCTCTATTAAGATGTTTTTTTTTAATAATAATTTGGAAACGGGACATGTTTTATTGCGTATTTTTATATCAAACTAATGAAAAACATTAGTGACATCTATTGATTATAATAAAATCAAACCTCTCAAATAGAAGTAGTTACAATCAATACTTTCTTACATATATTAATTTTATTATCGTTTACTGTAGCGATATATTGTAAGCATAGTAAATTAAATTAAAAATCAGATAATTAATCAAATTTTCTATAGGTATTCATATTATGAAGTACTTTTTTTTTTTCGTTCTTTTTTCCTATGTACTCCATTCAAAAATAATAAAAGCCTTTGCATTGAAGCGCTATTTTATACTCATGATCAAGTTTAACGAACATCGAAAATCTATATATATTTTTAGTTTATTTTAAAAATAAAAGAATTTTTCATTATTGAAAAATATTTTCTCTTAAAAATAGAAATTTCAAATGACAACAAATTGTCCATCATTTATTCGATATCAATCACTTGAAGCAACACAAGTTATTCCATTATTTGATTCAACATCAACAATATTTACATCAATACCACCATTTAAACCAAAAGCTGGAGAAGTTTATGTATTAAAACTTGATATTGGACATGAAAGTAAGTTTTGTTTTTTTTTTGTTGAATTCCAGCGAATACCAATGTTCATCCGTTATATAAAGTCTGGAATCATCGAAAGTTCTTTGGAACAAAAAGGATTGGGTATATCATGGATTAGTATTTTAACGAATAGAAAAATTTTAATAGAATATTGATTGAATAGAAAATCGATAGGTGAACAATTGACATTTGATCTATGTTAACTTACCGTTGAACAGCATAGAATTGAGAAGTATCATAAAGCAAGATGATTGATTTATTGTAAGGGAGATATTATCATGAAGTTACAATTTCATCAGATTTATTTTTTAAATAACTTTCAATCGTTTATAACTATTAAAATTGGGTTTACATCATTAGATAGAATAATTTTGAAGATGTCTATCTGTGTAACATTTACTAAGTTTGAAGAAATTTTTGCAGATGAATATTTTTTTTTTTCGTTGTCAATTTTTATAACTTTTCATAGTAATCTAGACTCAAATTACATCAAAATTTAGTTCGAAGAGTGTTGTATTTTTTTGCATTCTCACTCTGAATTCATGTTTCAAGAGAAATATTCTGAAATCTAGAAATTTTATAGGTAATACGGCTCTCATTGGACTGCATTTTAGTGTAATTTGAGCCGCTAGATTAAAGAAAAAAATTGTTCACTTACAAATATCCTTGGAGAATTCCTTTGAACTTAATGAATGTTATACAGATAGACGTCTCTAACATTGCTCTATCTAATGGCAAAAAAAATTCGACATCGATGCCTATCAAGGATGAAAAGTTATTCAAAAAATGGTGGTTGGCATGTTTGAAAAATAAATCTGACAATAGTTATTTCGATTCAATCTCTATGATGAACATAGAATTTATAACATATATTGAATATTATTTTTAGACGATTGGCGTAGTGATGGTTATCGTTGGGTACAAATAGCTGCACGTCGTTTACCAACACATAATCCAGTAATAAAAAAATGTTATTTTCATGCTGGACAAAAAAATAAGAAAAAAAATAAAGATTTTGAAAAACAAGCATTTGTTTCACTTATTGATCCATCAAAAGTTGTTGTACAATATCTTGGTGATGAAAATATTGCTGAAGAATTTCCACATGGAAATTCAAAAAAAAATACAAAACCATTTTTTCGTACACGTCCATCACTTCTTAATAAACTTGTATCTGATGCAGCAACAAATGTTGAAACAATACAAATATTTAAACAATATACAACAAAAAATTCTCATGAACAAAATAATGATGATGATGATGATGATGAAAATAATTCTACTGAAATAGATGATGAAATATTTGATGATAATCAAAAAAAGAAATCATTAAAATCTATAAATTCATTTAATATAAAAAATGAAACAAAAATTGGTCCTGAAATTTTATCACGACCTCGTAATATTGAACAAATACGTAATATAAAAAGACGTTTAGCACGTCGTCTTGTTGCATCAGCTGATGAAATATCTAATTTATATCATTTTGCATGTGAAATACCAAATTATATTGTTCGTTTTACATTAATACCAAATATTGTTGCTATTGCATTTTCAAATGAATCAATACATGAATTTAATTTATTATTAGATCATTCTGATCTTTTATCACAACAATATGTTCCTATTACATTTGATTCATCATATACAATTAATACATTTCATGTTACATGTGTTTTTTATCGACATATTGCTATGAAAGAGGAACCATGTATTTTACTTGGTAAGATTACCTTATGAAAGAGAAATATCAATAGAATAGGGATGTTACAATATGAATAATTAATAATCAGTAATGTGAAAACTTTAAAGGGAGTTCAAAATGTTTAAAAATTTGAAGCATAATGACAACATAAGTTTTATATTCTGATCAAGGGTATCGCGAGGTTTCCAAGATTGGGAAGGTCGACGGAAAAATTTTTGCTAAAATTTACTGGATTGAAGGGGGTCGAGCGATTTTTTGAGAATCGGTGAGCAAAAAAATGAAAATTTTTCAAGATTGGGAGGTGACCCCCGCTCGCGACAGCTCTAATTCTGATAAAATGAACGCTTGGAAAGTTTTCTAACTAACGAGAAAATGTGCGCAATTGATCCATGCCGTTTTCAATAATATTTCATCCATATGTCGGAGACAGTATTTCAAGAAAAATCCTAAGAGAATTTCGGGCTGATGGTGCTTCTTTCGAAGGTTATGACTATTTTACTGATTTTTCCACTTAGCAAAATGTATATAGGGAACAACTGAATTTCAAAATTCTGAAGATATTAATTCTTAAAAATTTGTCTCATAATCTACTTTTTTTGAAAATTGAATATTTCCAAAAGAGAACATTTTTTTTGCATTGAAACTTTTCCAATGTTCTAATGACCACAAGATTTCAGATTGAAATTCAGCTGTTCCCTATATACCTTATGCCAGATGGAAAAATCAGTAAAACAGTCATAACCTTCGAAAGAAGCACCATC